AGTTCTGTTTAGGAGAAAATTTTTTTTTTTTTTTTTTTTTTTTTTTTTTTTTTTTTTTTAAGATAGGGTCTCACTATGTAGTTCAGGCTGGCCTTGAATTCATTCATGGCCATCCTCCTGCCTCCACCTCCAGAATGCTGAGATAATAGGCATGCACCATCATAGCCAGCTGAGAATACATTTTTTAACAAACTCATCCAGCAATTTTTGAACTTTAGCTTGTGAGACCGATGACAATCTAAAAGTCATTCTAAACATCAAAATGATCTTCACTCCCAGCTCATAACCAAAATATTTGGTGATATATATTAGAGGTCAAATAAGCACCTGCTATAGTTTAGATATGGTTTGAGTGTGTCCCCGCTAAAGGTTCACGTGTTGAAGGACTGGTCTCAGTGTGGTGGTGTTGAGATAGTGGAACCATTAAGAGGTGGGGTCTAGTGTAAAGTGGTTAGATGACAGGGGTCCTGCACTTTAAAGGGATTAATTTAATTCTTGCAACACTCCAGATAGTCTTTGCAAGAGTGGGTTGATGTTTGGGGAGTAAAAATGGCCTGAAATTAGAGAATGGAGATGACTATCCTAAAATCCACTGAACTGGACACTTTAAATGAGTAGATTACACCAAAGGGTGAGGGGGAGAGATGGTGTAGAGAGGGGGAGGAAGAGGAACAGGAGAGGGAGGGAGGAGACAGGAGAGGAGGGGTGAGAGTGGAGAGAGGGTTAGGGGAAGGGGAGGAGAGGGGGAAAGCTGAGAGAGGCAAAAAGGGGGTATAGAGAGCAAAGGGGCAGAGGGAGAGGAGAGGTGGGGCCTGGCTTCTGTCCCATGAAGAGCAGGAATTACAGCCCAAAAGGGGAGAACTGAAAGAGAGCAGGGAGAAAAGAGGACAAAGGGGCAAAGGAGGGCAGGGATGGAGAAGAGGAAAGGGAGGATGGGGAAGGGTGAGAGGGGAGGTGTGGGAGAGAGGAGAAGAGAGAAAGTGGAGATGGGAGAGGACAGAGGAGGAGCAGGGAGAGAAGGGGAAAGAGAGAGGGAGAGGGGAAGAGTGAGGTCTAAAGGAGGAGGGTGAGAGGGAGGGAAGCACAATACAGGGAGAGGGAAAGACACAAACCAAACCTGGCCTTGACTTGCCATGAGAACAGGAGCTGGGAAGTACCTAAGTATAACGTCTATGATCCTTCCAAAATACTTGGGATGATTCCATAGTTACCCCCACCCAGCCTTTTTCTAAAATGGCACTGTCTGCAATGAAGAAAACACTATCTTGGAGCCTGGTGTCCCAGCACTCAGGAAACTGAGGCAGGAGTCCAAGGCCGGTCTGAACTACTGCATGCAAGACACTGTCTCATACAACCAAAAAAAATTTTTTTAACCTACAATCTTGGCTATCCACTCAGGAGCCACCTGTGCCTACTGAATACTTGAAGTAGGATTACTCCAACTACAGAACTATTTTATTTTGCTGCATTTTAACTAATTTAAACATAAACAGCCAGATGTGGCTATAGGCTACCAAACTGGACAGCACAGTTTTTGAGATTTTGCAAAACAGCCAAAGTGACAGACTTGCATCTTTAGTAAATTCCAAAGCTGTGAGGGTAGAAATCAGAAAATGGGGGAGGGGGTCTCTCTCTCTCTCTCTCTCTCTCTCTAAATCCATTTACTGCCATTGTGCCTATCCTCTTTCAAACTTATAAAAATGACTTAATTGTACAAGGTATTGAGAAATGACTTAGTCAAGACCAGGACAAGATTAACTAAGGGAGGTTCATGGTATAGCCAAAAATTCAAGGTAATTTAGACTCCAGGGGAGCAAAGGCGATGATTCTTGAGTAGCTCTGATATTGAAAGCCTGAAATTTCAGATCTGTGCCTTCATATTCCACCTGTTCTAAAGGGCCCTCAGAGTGAGAGAGGACTTGCTACACACTTGTGTTGTACACACACCCTGCCCCACAAAAGCAAAACCCCATCACACAAATTTTTCAGAGTTGACACCAGCAGGCAAGAGGACAAAGTTATGCCTAATAGGAAAATAAACATTTGCCCACTTTGAAAAGGGTGCATTCCAACTCCAACTTTGGAGCAGAACGTATAGTTCTAGGTGAAGAGGACTCCTGGCTAACTTCTTCCTAAAGAAGTGGTGCTGAAGAGTAGACTCAATGTGGTAAGAAATCCCAGCACTTGGGAGGCTGAGGTAGGAGGATCGCCTCCAGTTCAACCTGGGCTACATAGCTCATAGCCAGCCTGAACTGCTTAGCAAGATCGTCTCAAAAAAAAAAGTCAAGAAAGTGTCCAGCTGTCACTTGTTTAAACAAGCCTGTCACCTCACCCCCTCCCAGCTGGAGGATTTGCTCTGTAAAGGAACCACACCTGTGCAGCCAGCAGAATGAAGGACCTGCAGGGGTTGGGTGTGTTGCTCAGCGTACCTTGCCTGACACATAGGTGAGACCCGGGTTCCATCACCATCACCAAAATTAAAAAAGAAAAGAAAAGAACAAACCTCACCTACTCTAACATCCTAGCCTGACCAGTGTTTGAAAGCGACTCAAAACCCCATTTATCTCCTCGGGCACTTTTAGGTTTAAGGTAGATCTGTGTTGTTATTCCCTTTTTTAAATTAATTAACTTTATTGGTACATTTAAGGTATACAACGTAATGACATTTATCACTGGAAACTTGCACCTTTACATAATCCATCTTGGCTCTCGTTATTTTTATTATTTTATTTTTTGGTACCGGGGATAGAACTCGGGACCTTGCGCTTGCAAAGCAGGTGGCGAAACTACTGAGCTAAAATAAAATCCCAGGCCCTAAATTGTGTTTTCTCATTATTTTTGTTGCTGTTGTTGTTGTTGTTTGAGACAGGGTCTCACTATGTAGTTGAGACTGACCTGGAACTCACTATGTACCTCAGGCTGGTCTCAAATTCACAACGTTCCACCTTGTCTCAGCCTCCGGAGTGCAGGGATCACAGGCGTGCGCCACCACGCCAGGCTGTTTTTCCCTTTTGACCAGTGTAAAAGCTAAGGCACAAGGATTCCCAGGTGATTAGTTACACACAAAATGCTTATAAATGTCATCGAAATGCCAAAAGTTCGTCCAAGTCTAACTTGCCCTGGCTTCTATCTCCTTATCTGAAAAGGGGCACGTTACCTAGTTTATCCTCCCCGAAAGGCGCAAGGGCGCCATTCTAAAGCGGGGCGGGGGGCGGGGGCTGAGGGCCCTGAGGAGCCCGTGGAGCCCACGCCTGTGAGGGGGCAGGGGAGCCTGCGTGAGGTGGGGACGAACCGGGCGCCGGTCCTCACCTGCATCATAGAAGGCGTCAAGCGCAGCGGTCTCCCCGAAGTCGAGCTTCCCGAAGGACACGGAGATGAAGTGGACGCCCTCGGCCTCGCAGGCTTGAAGCAGGCAATGAAGCGCTCCCGCCTCGTGGCAGGGGACCGCGGCGCCCTGGGCGCCTTCACAGCGCACGTAAATCACCCGAAGA